CTATAGTTACACAATATACTCACAATGGTAATAAATAAAATTAAATAAGCTTCAAAAACTAAGAAACCAAAATTAATGTATTGTTTTGAACTGAACTCCAGATTTTCCCAGAATTTCACTGTTTTTTTATCCTAATGTCTTATTTGTACTTCAAGGTCTTACAGGATTCCATATTGCCTTCAGTCATCTTGTGTCCTCTATCTGCAACAGGGCTTAATGTTTGTCCTTGTCATGACCTGGGCATTTTTGATGAGTGTGGATCAGCATTTTATGGTACACCCATCAATTTGTGTTTGCATTTGTAAGTGTGTGTGTGTGTGTGTGTGTGTGTGTGTGTGTGTGTGCAGGTTCACATACACCAAGGACATGTGTGGATCTCAGAGGACAGCCTCCAGTGTTGGTTCTCACATTCTGCCTTGTTTTGAAGTAAGTCTCTTATTTACCATTGCATATGCCAAATTAACTGGTCATGAGCTTCCAGGAATTAACATGTCTGTCTTCCCTCTTGCCACAGATGGGGATGACAGATGTGTGTTACCACATCTGGCTTTACATGGTTTCTGGGCATATAACCCTGGTCTTCATGCTTGAGGGTCAGTAGCTTTCTTCAGTGCACCATCTTCCAAGCCCCAGCCTGGTTTTATATTTGTTTCTTGTGTTTATTTCCTTCTGTGCAATCACATTTTTCATGACTTCTAGAACATCACTCTTTCCTAGTTTTTGTGGAATATCACTGGTCACTTCTCTCTACAATATCCAGAATGTTGCTGATCTAGCAAATCTCATCTTTTTCTATGAGGGATATAATTACAATGTCTAGAGACATCTGGCATCAATATAACTAAATTCTTTGAGGGTTTCTATTGCTGTGAAGAGACACCATGACCACAGCAACTCTTTCGAAGGAAAACATTTAATTGGTGTGGCTTACAGATTAGAGGTTCAGTCTATTATCATCATGATGGGGCACAATGGCATGTAGGCAGACATGGTGCTAGAGAAATAGCTGACAGTCTTACATTTTGCAATAGAAAATGATGTCTCACTGGGCAGCATCTTGAGCATATATGAGACCTCAAGGCCCTCCCTGAGAGTGACACACTTCCTCTAACAAGGCCACGCCTATTCCAATAAAGCCACACCTCCTAACCACTCCCTATGAGCTTATGGAGACTAATTACATTCAAATTACCACAAATTTCCTTTTTGTTGCCATTATAGTAAATAAATTACAAATAAAATTCCTTGGGGAAGAAATTCTTTTCAAGGACAGCTAAGAAAAAAAAGATAAACAAAATTCTAGTCACTAAATTCCTAGCTACTAAGACCATGAAACCTTGATATCTTTACTCAGAAGTTAAGAGACATTCCAAGATGTGTAGCTCATTTCGGCAGCTGCTCTGGAACATGTGAGTATCTAGTATGCTTATGAGTTACAGCCATTGTCACAATGCTGATAGGGGAGCCTTATCTGAACTATAAATACCTTCTGTTGTCTGTTGACCCCTTCTCAGATAGATAAAGGCCTTTCCCATCCAGACTGAAAGAACTCAAGGAGTTCTAACAATTTTATAATAATTCCCCTGCTCTCTCTCCTGAGATCTTGAAGACAAGGCTGCTTAGACTTGTGAACTACAAACTTTTTCTTCAATGAAAAGGGCATAATTTACAACCTCATGTTGTTTACCACTTGCTGTGGGATGTTCTGTATGCCGTGAATGTGCTGTTCGGATTTGTTAATAATTAAAATGCTGATTGGCCAGTAGCCAGGCAGGAAGTATAGGCAGGACAAGCAGAGAAGGGGATTCTGGTAAGAGTCAAGAGTTGCCAGCCAGACACAGAGGAAGCAAGATGTAAAGACAGAACTGAGAAAAGGTACCAAGCCACGTGACTAAACATAGATAAGAATTATGGATTAACTTAAATGTAAGAGCTAGTCAGTAATAAGCTTGAGCTAATGGCCATACAGTTTGTAAATAATATAAGCTTCTGTGTGTTTACTTGGGTCCGAGCGGCTGTGGAACTGGCAGGTAAGAGAGATTTGTCCTGACCACTGGCAGGCTGGGACACAGGAAAACTTCTAGCTACATCCACTTAATATTCCAAGACTGAATTCCTTCATAGAAATCTTTCCTATTTTCCCCATTAGTGTTTTTATAACACTATAAGGGATCTTACTCCTAAACTTGGAAGCTAAAATGAGGACAACTGTACTATAACACCTGATAGCTCCAGACATGCCAACAGCAATCCAAGGAACCTGACAAATGCTTACAGAAAATGTTTTGTGCTTTCTAGAGCACAGCAGTTCCAGGCTAAGTTTTTTGGGATTCAGGGATTCCAGGCAACCACTAGATATACACGACTATTCTGAGAGGATGCTATGATGAACCAGCCTGCCTCCATCTTAGGCTTAAAAGCCATCTTACATAGTAAAGACAAATAGGGTTCGTTCGTATTTATAATTAAATCTCTGTTTCTCGAAGACTGGACTATGTCCCACCTGTAACCTTAACTTTGAATTGTCTGTCCTGCCTGTCCCAGGAAATGGCAACCACACCTTTGTTTCAAATGGTTATTATGTCCACCAGTTGTTATGACCACCTTGCAACCACGTCTTTGTTTCAGGAAGTTGTTATGACTAACTTGTTATTCTTACATTCTGCTTCTATAACCCCATCTGTCTGCCCACCAAATGCTCCATTTGGAAATCCCCTACCCCTGAGCTATAAAAACCTTGTCTTCCTCATGTCCAATCCTGACCTCTTGAACTCCACCTTAGAGGGAGGCAGCCCATGTACACGAATAGCTTGCTTTAATTGTTTGCTTTAATTAATTTGGCCATGATGATTTGAGTCAGTGATCCTTCTCCTCACATCTTTGGGATTAACAGTTATGGCCTTCATAGGCAGGGATCATGCATAGTATATAGAAGTAGTTATAAAAGGCAAGTCACCATTTTTCAGCTCCCCCAAAAGATTTTTGAGATGGCTCTGAGGCATGATTTGAGGCAAGGGAATGGGGCAGACAATGAGATTCAGAAGGCCTTTGCAAAGGCTGAGAAATTAGCATATGAAAAGAACACCGTGGCAAAACTGAAGGCCAGGACAGCTTCCCACTAACCCTCATCCTTACTTCCCACCCCAGAGACCAAGGCCACCTAGAGTGGGGGAGGTGGCACTCTAGGGTGTCTAGTTCATCACAACACTAAAACACAGTCCCCTGCATGGGGACTTAAGAAGCTAATGAGACATGAAGCACATGGAGTTGTACCCAGAACTGCAATGGAAGAGCAATTTTAGAAAATGTCACACTATGCTGATGACTCCCAAAGTGTGTGCTAGCTGATATAAACACACCAGCTGTTTTGGGCTCTAAGTGCATCTTTCCTTAATACGCTAACTGCCCCTGCTTCTGCTGGAAAAAATTCTCTCTTCCAACGTTGTGCTTGACCTGTTGATTCCTCACATAAACATGTAATCTGAAAGGTTTACAACAAGCCCCCACGGTCAGGCGTGTTCGCATATGCCAGACGGACACTTCCGCCTGGCCAGTTCCAGGTCAGGATAGCCATTTCCGGGTCAGGGCATCTCGCGTGACCAAGATCCATGGCGTTCCACTAGCCACGTAGGCGCGCAACGTGGCCATGTGATCTACGCGCTTGCGTGTAGTAGTGATGCTGATCTGTCCACGCCCAGCCTTTAAAATCCGGCGCCATGTTCCTGGTTCCTCCTCCTTCTTCTTCCTTCTTCTTCTCCACACACGTGTTTCCCGCAGGCCTGTTCACTCTCTGTCCCTTTACCTTTAATAAAACTCTTTGTTAGCGGATTCTGTCGTGTTTTGTGGCATTTCCTTGCAGGGTAAGAACACAACGCAGCCGAAAAACTAACATAATCTATCCAATATCCTTTTTTAAAAACATATCTTTTGCTGTATCAATTAAAAATATATTCTAGGTAAATAAAAGTTCATTAATATGTCATCGTGGTTTATTGTACTGAATGTAAACATAAAATACCACCAGCTCCTCTGCTTGATTTTTAACTTGAAACCTCTCTTATTTAATATTAATATTGCTACATTTGCCTTCTTCAGTAGCATTTGCAAAGAATTTGTTTAGGCTCAAGAACTGTTTTATTCATATTTAAAAGGAAAAGGAAACAGCAAAACAAAACCCAAGGCAGGCAAGCTGTAAAACTCAGTAGCTATCAAAAGAAGGGCAATGGAGAAAAGCATGAACAAAGCCATGCTGTGTGAGCCGGCATGGAGGTCAGAAACATGGAGGATAAATAGCCTCATGGTGAGAAGGGGACCCAAAGTGTTAGAGAAAGCGTGCTTAGAAAAGAGAAAAGAGAGACAAAGTCAGGTAAGTGGTCAGACTCATGGCGGCAGCTGGGGGCACTACTGTCCTAGGGGCAGGTATTCTGGAAGGGGAGAACACATCCCCTCAGGAAAGGACCAGGTAATCCACCTGTCTCTCCAGCTTGGCTTCCAAGGGTTGGCCCCTTGGCCTGGCAGTTGACCTCCTCAGATGGAATGCTAGGCTCCACCCAAGCTAGAAATTCCAGTCTCTTGACCAGAAGGAATTTTATCTTAGCTCAACTTCCCCGCTACTCTAACATGGCTCCCTCTGAAGAGGTAACCCTGAAATCATTTAAGAACCAGAGCAGGTTTGAAAGCCTGGCATCTCTGGCGTCTCTGGCCCCGGCAATGAGGGAGCCGCCAAGAAGCTGAAGCTGGTCACTTTTCTTTGGGGTCTTTTTACACTAAACTGTGTAGCCAGTTTCTACCTCCAGTTCTCATCAATACAACTGAGGCAGTGGAAACAAAAGGGGTCCATCCAATTTTAACTAGATTTCCTCACCAAGAACCTTTAAAAATGTCTTTCCACCACCACCACCAAATAGCAAGTCTTGAAATGGACAATTGAGCCAGTCCGGATGCCCCTGAAGCCAATGGGGCACTGCCATAGCACCTGTGTGGTATCACAGGTCACTCACCCGTTTCAACGTGTTTTGCTTCTAACTTCAGGTTCCAGTGATGGTGGGTTTTAGTGAATTTATGGTCGGAGAAGCTGATAAACATCTGAATGAGAGCTAGGGAGAGGAACACGGGCAGGAGGATCTGGCCCCACACCCTCCGCCAGCACATGGCTCCTCTAGCCCTCCAGGCACTGGACTAGGCAGGATGATCCTGCTCAGGGACCCCGCCCAGCCCTGGGCCCTAGGCCCTCCTGTTCTGACCCTTGCACGCCAGCATAATTAGCAGAACCTTAGAATGTTCAGGCTGGAATGAGAACGTTGAGACCGCTCTCTGGGTGCGCAGTAGTCTCAAGCCCTGAGCGCCACAGGCGGTTTTGTCCACTGGACTTAATGACAGTCTCTTTCTCCGCCGCCCCCACCCCGCCCCCTGCCCCTGATGCCTATTGCTTTTTCCGTTCTGTTGTTGATTTTTGATAAAAGGACGAGGTTTTAATTTCCATCGTCTGTAGCATATAAATAATTAGCCGTTCTGGAGAGCACGCCTCCGATGTAAATGAATCTCCACTCTCATGTCTCTTAGGATGGTAGGTACACAGCACACAGTGAAGCTCGTGGTCTGAAAAACCCAGTCCTGCCCTTGACTTGGCTAGGAACAGCTGATATGCTCTAAGGCAGTTGCCCAATGTGTGGGGTGTTTTAGGTAGTATACAAATGAACCTCTTATTTTCATAATCATTTTATTTAGTAGTTATATAATGGCAGCAATGTAAAGTTGCCTTTTAAAATAAATCTGTTAAAAAAAATCAACTTTCAGCCTGTGGTAAGGTGGTGGCGTATGCTTTTAATCCCAGCATTCAGTGGCAAAGGCAGGCGGATCTCTGTGAGTTCGAGACCAGCCTGGTCTACAGAATGAGTTCCAGGAGAGGCTCCAAAGCTACACAGAGAAACCCTGTCTTAAAAAAAAAAAATCAACTTTCAGAAATACAATAGTTGTACACAAAGGATATGGCAAGAGCTGGGAAGGTGGTTCCAGCATGACTGAAACTGGAGCACTACTGACGTGTGGATGCAGAGAACTGTAGGTGGATGGGAGAGTGGTGGAAATGTGCCCTTAAGTAAAGACCATCTTGCTTTGTTTTTAAAAATGGATGATGGGGTGGTTTCCCATATTCCTGACATATTGATCTACATTGGGACTTGCCAATGAAGTATCTAGTACTGACCGTAAATATGGAGGAAGGAAAGACATGATCAAGAGTTCAGGTTCCTTTTCCCTTATCTATTTGTTAGGCATATAGCAAACAGAGGGCTGTTTGCTGGGATAGAAAATGTGCTTTTACAAACACATCTTCTATTACAAACAAGAGAAGCACAAAAGTAAACTGGGAAAACGAGCAGAGATGGGAGGCACCCATGGATAGGGAAGAAAGTCTAAATAGGGAGTAAGTGCTGAGAAAAGATCATCCTAGTACTGGACAACTGTAAATCACAGCAGTAATGAGCATAATGTATCAATCCGGGAGCAAACATTTATAAAGGAAACTACCACAGCTAGTGAAGATGTGGGGAAATTTATCTTTGGCACAGCTGTGAACTGCTACTGCCTTTGGAAAGCAACCTGGGCAAAGCTGTAAGAAATAAAAATACTTAAAAATAAGTATGTTCTGGGGATATAGAATATAGACTATAATCTCAGTAAATGTGCTTCTTGATGCTCAGTAGCTCTTAAGACACAACTCGACATGGAGGTGAAGTGTGAAATATTAGACCTGAGAAAAATCATGGCATGGAATTTTTCCTGGCTCAGGGGTGGGCAAATAATTTAAGTGTATCCGTTCCAAGACACTCCCAGAGCTTTTACAGAAGGTCGGGGCAAGGATGCATGGTTCCTCTGGTTTCAAACTTGGAAGCATTTGGTCTCCATGGCTGCTAAAAGCTAGCTTGATGTAGAGTATGGCTGTGAAACACCCATATCAAAGCATAAGTGACTGATGACCTCAGCTGTTGTGGCTCAGATTCCTCCACGTATTCATCCCAATGCTATGCTTCCTGCAAATTATTCAGTCAAGACTAAACATGGAAGGGATACTGATATGGAATGCCTTCAGTGGGAGATTTTGGCTTACAGACTCCCCATAAATCTAGTTGAAACTTTCTTGGAACTATGCGGTGCTCTGAACCACTGCCAACCAATTTTGTCTCTTCTCCCCTTCACAGGTTAGAACTGTGTGAGTGTTTGAAGACTCTTGCCTTCTGGAGCTTTCTTCCCTTCATCTTGTCCAACATTTCCCTAATGAATATCTCATACGCATAATCCTATTTTGGCAGATGATTCTCAAAGGACCCAAACTAATGCAAAGACTGGTGGAAGAGTTCTGGGAAATGGTGTTATGTTAGCCCACATGTTCAGCCTCACTCCGGATTCTGGTTACCTGGTTACTGTACTCTTCTAGGAGTACTTTAGGAGGGTACCACAGATTGGTCAACTTGAACAACATAATTTGTTGCCACTCTAGAGGCTGGAGGTCTAAGATCAAGGCGCCAGCAAGGTCGGTCTCTGCAGAGGCTTCTCTCTTTAAAATACATGAGCAGCTCCTGGCTACGTCCTCACATCGTGTGTTTTTCTCTGGGCACACAAACCGCTAGCATCTCCTCTTCCCATAAGGACTAAGTATTCAAAGCTTAGGACACCACTTTTATGACCTCATTTATCCTTAATTAGCTCCAGAGTCCCTGTTTTCTAAATTGTCATCCTGGGGGCAAGGACTTCAACACACAAATCTGGAGGAAACACAATTCACAGCTGATAGTTCGCCACGGTGTGAAGGATTTCTCTGTTACCATTCAGTTTTGTTCAATGTATTCTCTGTCTTTCAAACTGATTCCTGACCCCCACCCCACAATGCACAGATGCTACTTACTCTCTTTTTCCTGCGTCTCATGTAATCTCTGTTTTCGCCTTAGTCATAAGCAAATGTGTGCCCATCAAAGTAGTCTTCAAGCACTTTCTTAGATATTTGCATTTATCAGGTACAGAGTTAATATTGAAACATTTCAAAAGATGGAAATTGTCAACTGAAGAAATCCTGTTCATAAGAGTCTAAGTATGTCTACTAACGCCACCTGTTGGTGGCAACAATAATGGCGTGCTTTTGGTTTTAGACCAGTTTGTTCTGGTCCATGGAGTGGATGTGCTGAAAGGGTAAAGGTGAAACAGCATCTCTGATACTTTGTTGTTCCTTACCCCTCTTCATCAGTGGAAACACAGAGCTGTGGCAGGAGTTACAAGGACAAAGGACGGCGACACACTCAGGGTAGCAGTGAAGGGATACCATTCTCAGGGACTCCACGGAGGCTGCTCTGCTGCATGAGAGTCATGGTCTTAAGGCTGTAAAAATTAATTTGTCTGATAGAGTAGGGGAAATCCATATCACGATTTCTCTCTCCCTCTCCTCCCATTATCTTCCCAAAGCCAGAGGGGCAGAGAAATTCAGGCAATAATACCTGTAAGGGGTAAGGCAGAGCAAAGAAGGATAAAAGATGGATTTGGAAGGTTGGCCAGTGATTTACCAGCATAACCAGAGCCATACCCCCTCCTACATACACGTAAAAATCACTTTGTATTGTGTATGTTTATTTTACATGCTTGGTGCCTATATTAACCTAGTTACCAAATGTCTCGTCTGTAAGGATAATACTGCCATACCCCATTATAGGAGGAACTCATAAATGAGTATTTTTAAATAAATAAAAGAATGAATGCATCCTGATTTTCTATCTTCACAGCTTAACGTCTTGCTGAAGGGAAAGGGTTAATGTGACTCATTTCATGTCATGTCTTAATGTTCATGAGTTTCTATCTCAAGTTCAACATGTCAAATTCCAATTTTGAACAATATATGTATCAGTAAAACAAACAAGATAAATCCTCTGGCTTCCTGGTTGTTACTGTGTAAGGAGCAAATCTGAACACCATTTTCTAGGACTGTTTCCCTAACAGTTTGACTTTCAAACAAAAATAAAAGCATATTTTAAAAAATAAGCCTACTATATTTATCTCTGATCTGACTAAATGTCCATACAAAGGCTTTAAATGGAAGTGGAGAGTCACATTTATCTCTAAGGGCAGCACTAAGATCAACCCTAAATGCATTCAAATGTAGCTTGACAGCTGAACTTTTAAATAAACAGCCTGTCAGAGGCCAGCAGATTAAAAAATCCCCATCTGCTACAGGTTAATAAGTGAGTATTGTTCCAGCCAGTGTCTACATCTCTTCTAAAGAGGCAGGAAATCTATGCTTATGGTGACAGATGTCCATCCCTTTATGCTGACCATTGTAAAAGTCCTCCCCGAACTGTAGAAGGTGCCCAGTAAGACATTGAAGACAAACAGACAAGTGTTCTCATCATGGCTGTCTAATTACCATGTTGACAGAATGACAGGGTCATATCAATATTTTAGCAGTACGATCAGTCTCTAAACCTTGGAGCAGTTAGTTCTCCAAATGTCACAGTCCTTGTACATTCCTAATAAGGGTGGGGAGAGCATAATGGAAATTATTGGTATTCTGTTGTTACAGAAAAAGGAATGTTTCTAGCCTACAAGACATTTCTGAGGGCACATACATAGCATGAAAAGACATTTCAATAGAAAACACATACATTCTGGTTGGTGAATGTTGCTAAGTGCACCATTCAGCAAATGTTCCGCTATATTGAGTTTCAGGCATTGGCTGAATTATATTATGGTGAGATTTGTGATTAAGGTATGCTAACTCAAAATGACAAGCCAAGGGCATTTAAAGCCTACACAGCAATGGAACCTGGCAGTGCAAAAACAGCTGCCTTAAGTCCGCTCCTCTAATATTTCAAAGGAAGAATATCAATGGATTTCTGATACCACATGTGCCAACTGCAGAAATTCTAGAACAGCGTGAGAGACCGTGGGTGAAAGGTCACACTGCCTTATACAGATGGCATGTTTAATTATTAAAGAGCAATTTTCATCATCTAATCATTTCAGGCTTGAAATAAAAGGTCTTCTTGGGTATCCCGAAGTTTGTTGCAACCTAAACTCCACTATCCAACTTGTCCGAGGCCAGTGAGTAGCATATGTTATTTCATACCCTAACTTGATTGACATTCTCATGTGAGCTGAATTCGTTTTGCAGGCAGGCTCTAAAAGACATCCCATGGGAAA